GATGAGTAGAAACAAAATGATTGAACAATGAGATTTTCAAAGGAGATAGGGATTTAAACAGCAGTAAAATATACAAGATGCCAATAATGTTTTGATCACTGAGGAGAAAGCTCAAAAGATGAAGTCATCACAAGGTCCTTATTACTCTTGTGATCCTTTGGATACAAACAAGGAGAAAGATAGCTTAAACGACTACAACCAACTCATTCCACTCCCCTGAAATCTATCATGATTCCTTTAGCGTTGAATTCTCTATTATTCCTCTAACAACTAAGCAGGAGTAGTAGCCTCACCACCAACAACCGTTGCGGGGTCAACAGAAATGTCATACGATTTTAAGAGACTAAAGAAGATGCAATTACTAATGCATTGAACTCCACTCTCCAGTTTATATCAAGAAACTTAGACAGTGAGGAAAGGGAAAAAAAAACAAAATACATAATGGATGCCCTTACATCAATACCACCAAAGCGTCCAAATGTTAATTCAGCAGGTCTATCAATACCATGAGATAAATCCTCGTGAAAGTTGATTGCCTGTCTGACATTCTGATATCGAGTCAAAAGGTTCAATGCAAATTTTCTTTCTGCTTCCTGGCAATGGTAACAAAAGTCAGATGCCTTATCTTTAAATGGGAATCACAATATCTACCAGGAATGCAGGATCCTCCTCCCGTGTAATATTATATCATACCAATTTTTCATGGAATTAAAATTACCTTCTCTAAATTAGCACCCCCAACTAGATCGAGGGTTACTCAACGATCCATTCAATGGTTCAGCAGAGCCAGCAACATATGATCCACCCAACCAAGATTCCTACGGATAATATAACCACACCATTAACTAGTTCAACAAAATTATCCGAGTATCTTCAGATCAATCGTTGCAAAACAGATCAATCGTTATGGAGATATGTGTCCAGTAAATCGATGATAACTTTCGTAATATGGCTCCGAATGACTTGAAACCACTTCCATTGGAAAGCTAACTCAAATTTCCAATCTCTCCACCAAATTTCAGATTAATCCGATCATGGGAAGGCCTTCAACAGAGATGATCTTTAAGCCGATTCGGATTTTTTCTGCATGTTTTTGCCCATTTGATCCATTCTTCTAATTTTTTTGTGTCCAACCTACTTCAATGTCTCCAAACACACCTAAAACATTCAAAACAAGATGCAAAATGCAAAAACTCATATTCTAAACTCAATTTATTCTATATCACACTCAAAATGATGAGAAATATGCAAAACGAAAGTCTAATGACTATAAAATCTAAAGAAAATGTATGATAAGGATGCTAAAATATGAATGCATCAATTCGTAACGGAGGTGCTCTCTAGGGTTTCGTTGACATCTTTGAGAGAATCCGATCTGCTCGAAAATACTGGAACGATTTAATATCCAACGATCCCAGCTTTACAAACGCAGTGAGGGAGAAGGAGTTTCTGGCGATTATGATGATGGATCTTAGGGTTTATCTACTGAGCGTCGATCTCTGTGGAATTCGCGAGGAAGACGACCATGACAAAATTCAATCATCTATAAAGCAAAAAGGTAAACTCATTAGTACCCTAGTGGATGCGAATCCAGTCGAAATATCTGCAATCTATCACTGCGAGGGTGTGTTGTTATGCATCAACAAAGAAATCGATTCTAGGCTTGTTGTTTGGAACCCTTATCTTGGGCAAAGAAGGTGGATCAAACCCAGAATTGCTTGCAGCAAATTCGACAGGTACGCTCTCGGATACGAGAAGAAGAAGAATAACTCGATTCATAGCCACAAAATCTTGAGATTTGTTGATCATTATATCCACTGGACTCCAGTCCGTCACATAAATCTACAATCTTGAGACTAATTCATGGAATGTTGTTGATGTTACTCCCGAATGGGAAATACGGTGTTATCACCGTGGAGTGTCTGTGGAGGAAAATGCTTACTGGTTTGCTCGTGAGAAGATTTCTAT